CTGTTAGGTGATCTCCGTAGTACTAAATAGAAGACATGAATGGGAAAGAATAAAGAATCTGGGGAGGGGAGCTACTTAGAGGGGGCAGGAGTAACAGGAAGGTAGGAGAAGAGCCACAAAAGCACACTTTGTTTGAAAATGTGTTTGAAAATGCCGTAATGGTATATCTAATATATTACATTGCAATTTAAATTTAAATATATATAACATTTTTCTTGAATTTTTCCCACTCTTTTCCACACTATTAACACTATCATTAATTTTCTCTCTCAGATTCTTAATACTTTTTCTAACCATCATCATCATCATCACTTTTCTGAATAATAAAAGCTGAACATCTGTTCACCCCTCTACAGCCCACTCTATCTATGCATGGCATTCATATATCTCAAGTGTAAAGCACTTCTTTTTTATGAGGATTTTACATTTTTTATTTTGCATGGGTAGGTGATGTCTCTCTCTCTCTCTCTCTCTCTGTGTGTGTGTGTGTGTGTGTGTGTGTGTGTGTGTGTGTGTACTCACATTGTAGAGGTCAGAGGACGACTTGTGGGAATTGGTTCTTTCCTTCTACTGTAGCTTCCTAAGATTGACCTAGGGTCATCAGGCTTGGCAGCAAGTGCCTTTACCAGCTGAGGCATCTTGTCAGCCTTGCACAACACACTTCAGTATTTTTCCATTCTCCTAGGATAACGCCACGCCTTTTAGGCTAGGTGCATCACTGCACTAACACAGTGTATTCCCCTGCTGCATTCCAAACACATTCCCCATGATTCTTTTGTTATTGTTGTTGTTTGTTTGTTTGTTTGTTTTGCTCCAGACAGGGTTTCTCTGTGTAACAGCTCTGAAACTCACGTTGTAGACCAGGCTAGACTTGAATTCACAGAGATCTGCCTGCCTCTCCTGGGATTAAAGGTGTCCCATGCTCATTTTTTCACGACTCTTAATTGTCTTTCCTTTCCTACTAGGTTAGGAAACTCTATGAAATAGAGATGGCTTCCATTGGTCATAATTTCCTTGGGATTTGCCTAGCATATGGCACACACCTTCTTGATATTTTTTAATACATTACATCAGCTCTTTTGTAGGGTAGCCACAAAGATTAGGAACATAAAACATAAGGGATGCAAGGTCATCCTGGAAGGAGATTCATGAGTAAATTGGAAAAAATCTGTTCTGAAGAGTTTTAAATTATATTACATTCAAAAGACCATTTCTTCGTGTGAGACAAAGAACAAAAAATGTGTTTACTACATATTTAGCCAAGTCAATTTACTTAATGTCTGCTGGCATCTGTGAAGTATACTAATCTGTACTAAGTCAACAAAGAGAAATCCATGGTTTGTCCCGAGTATATCCCAAAATGTGCATAAGCATTGTTCATATCAATAAAATATAACATAAGGAAAGCAATTATATTTCATCCTAGATCAGAAAAATCTGAGTTAGTATGATGAAATGCACACAATTAGATGAGTGAATACATTTCCATTTCCTTCTCCAACCACAACTAAAGTGATAGTAACTGAATCTATAGATGTAAGATACAGTAAGGAAAACAACAAGAACAAAACCAGAGGGCAAATGACTTCTAATTTATGTACAGTAGGAAAGCATGGTCATAGCAAGTGACTTGGTGAACCAGGTGCTAAAAAGTAGAGACATGCCAGAGAAAGCAGGAAGGTTCCCACCGAAGAATTCTATTGAAGTCCAAGTGTTTGAACTACTTTCAAAGTTGGAGGTTAGAGGATATGATGGAAGCATGGAGCATCACAAGTCCATGCTTACTGAAGTCACAGTAACCAAAATGCAGAAGCAACTTGCAAACTCACTGACAGATCAAGAAATGGTGGTACATACATGAAATAATTCAGTCTTAAAAAAGAAAGCAACTACAGCACATTGAGATGACAGGAGTGAATACAGAGGATGTTATGTCAAACAAAACAAGCGACACAGAAAGAGGAACACTGTGTGATGATGTCTATATACAGAACTGCCAACAGTGAACCCCATAAAGGCAGAGAGGACAAGCATTTTTCCAATAGCTCAAAAAGGACAAAGAAGAATTAGGAACTGTCTACTGTGGAACTACAGTTAATAATAACTGTTTCATCTTCTTGAAATTATGAAGAAAGCAGATATTATGTATTGAAGTGTTGTTTTTATAATACTTACACTGATAAGAGTCATATGCCAAGTGATCTAAAAGTATACTAGTTTGCGTATGATGATTTTAACGTACACATATATATAATTGTAAGTTTTACCTCTTAAAAAATGATTTCTCATTGCTGGTTATACCAAAAGGCTGAAAAGCAAATACCAAAGTGTTCCTGTAAACTCTCTCTCCATACTACAAAGTCAGAAGCACTCCTCACTCAACACTTTCATAGACATGAGTGATTTATTCTGAAAAGGAATTGAGCTGTCAAGCCTGTGTCCCTAGAAAATCAGGAGTATTCTAAAAAAAAAAAAAGCAGTTCAAGTCTACAGTCTGAGCAGGAAGTATGTATTTATCGGTGCCTAGAATTGCACCTTTCCCAGGAGATCAGAGACTCTTTCCCCAGGGAAACTAAGCGGATTTACAGTTACTAATGAATGACTAATTTTCAGAGAAAAATGGAAAGAAATCACCTAGACTCTATCTACATGTACAGTCCAATGGGAGAACTTAAACATTTGAGTAAAATTTCTATCATGAAAAAAAGCACAAATAGAAAATGAGGACAAAACAGAGAAAAAGCATTGAGAAAAATAACACCTCCTAAAAAGCAGAATTAGTATTTTCTGAACGAAGCCATGAGGAAGAGATTACATCAAAAGGAAACAATTTGAAAGGCTCATGAATATTTAAGCTTAAGTTAGATGTTCTGAAATAAATCCAAAGACCCATGGAATACTCTCCCCAGGTCACTTCCTCATGAAATTTCAAATCAATGAGGAAAAGAAAAAAAAAAAAGGGAAATGGGAGAATAAGTAAATTGAAAGGAATTAAAACAGTAAAAATTTCATTATTGATTAAAACAAGGTTGCAATTTTCTGAAAGGAACAACTGTAAACCTCAAATTCCATATCTAAAGAAATCATTATACAAATTTGACATTACATTAAAAACCACCTAAGAAAATAAATTTTACTTCTTGTCTCTTCTCAGGACCAAGTCAATAGTCTTGAAGGGAGCATAAAATGCAAATCTGCAGCCTGCAAAAGACCTGTCAGGATGGTGAAGGAGGTCCCAAATTGACAGCTGTGGAACAGAGAGCTACACTAGGAGATCCTAGCCACATCTGACTAGACAAAGAGACATTATAGATCTAAAACACCATGTAAAGAACTAGGAATGTATAAATAGAAAACTAAAGAAACCAAAGCAGAGGGACAAATATTTACAGATCAAACCAGATGCTGAAAGTCATGTGGGGAGCATGTACCACATCATGTGGCTTAGCCATAAACACGATTGCCCCGATCACATAAGGCATGTAAACACTAAGTAACACAGTAAATCCAATGGGGATAAGGAACGGAGTTGAGGGCGGGAATACAAAGACGGTGATGTGAGTACAAATGTTCAAGTTGCATCTTACACAGTAGTGAATAAGGTCCAAAACTGACAAGTCAAAAAGAAACAGGAAAAGAAACAGTTTGAACACGGAAAACCACTGTCAGTCAAGTAGCTGAAAGGGTTGACAGCATTTAAGGGACACTAACTGTTAATCAGGTAGATGAGGAGGTCCCAAGCCTGATTGGACATTTAGAACGTATGTATACAAATCGCTTTAATACAATAAACACTTACTTACAAGGGAAAGAACCCATCACACTTCCTAAGCTCATTCATTCCATGGCAGCATTCATAGACTTCCTTGCCAAGACTCTAAAATTACTCTCTTTTCTCCTATGTGTTGAATAACAGTGGAAATTCTCTTACCTTTCCAGATGGGTGAGTCATTATGAAATTAATTTTTTAAAAATTAACTGTCACGTGAAGTTAGAAATATACTTCTACAGATTTGTTCACATTAAATGCTTCTGTTTTAGATTTTCTCCAATGGTTTGTTGCTGTGAAATAATCTTTCTGTACACGGTGTGGATGTAGGTTGCTATGATTGCTTTAATAAACAAGCTGACTGGCCAGTAGCTGAATGGGATACAGTTAGGTTGGAAAACCAAACTGAGACTAACGGGATGACGAAAGCTGGTCAGGGAGGTCACAAGGAGACACAGGAAGAAGATGGACACGCCATATTGACAAAAGGTACCAAGCCATGTGGCAGAGAATAAATAAGAAATAAGGATTGATTTAAATGTAATATTTAGCTAGTAACAAGTCTGAGCTATTGGCTGAGCATTTCTAATTTATATTAAGCCTCCTAGTCAGTTATTTGGGAGGCGGCTATCAGAATGGGAAAATTTATTCTACCAGTTTGACTAATCATGGGTATCAAAATTACCTTCCTTTACTCCAAATATAATTTTTGTTCTTGTTGTTTTGTTTTATTTTGTTTTTCAAGACAGGGTTTGTCTGTGTGTAGCCCTAGCTGTCCTGGACCTCACTCCATAGGTCAGGTTGACCTTGAAGCCATAGAGATCCACCTACCTTTGCCTCCCAAGTGCTGGGATTAAAGGCGTGTGCCATCACTGCATGGGACCAAGTATAATTTTTAAAGTCAGAAAAATTTTCATAAATCCTAAGAATTGTTCTTGAATCTAAAAGCCATAAACCAAGTTGAACATGTATATTTTGCCAATAAGTAAGATGAGAGAGCTAAGATTTATTTGCTCACAAATACCCAAAGAGCTAAAAGTAGATGCATCTTTTGTCTAATGCCCAGTATATATATATACATATACACATACATACATACATACATACTCTGGACTCATCATGTTCATAAATCAGTACACTTGGATTAAAACTATATAATCATAAACAGTCCTCAAATCTATGACATCATGACCTAGATTTACAGATTAATGACCAAGATACAGCTACTTACCAGGAATGTGTTTCCGCAGTGCCCACACACAACCCTTGTACCTTCCGGCTGGATTGGCAATGCAGGTTGAGTCGGTTGTTCTTCAGAAATGAGCATTACGGGGCCAAGGTTAATTATGCGTCGACTGTGGAAAGAAATAGCAAGCAAAATCATGAACCCACAAGCAGACTGAGGGCAAACTGCAACACATGGCCAGAAACAGAGTACAGTAAGGTAAATTAACTGAGTCAGCTATCAAACCCTGAACCCCAAACACATGGCCAGAAACAGAGTACAGTAAGGTAAATTAACTGAGTCAGCTATCAAACCCTGAACCCCAAACACATGGCCAGAAACAGAGTACAGTAAGGTAAATTAACTGAGTCAGCTATCAAACCCTGAACCCCAATCACAGAAACTATCAATAATCCTTCAAAAGTAAAGAAAAAAGTATATGTTTTCAAATATAAGTCATATTATGACAAAGTTCTTATCAATGACCTTGGGAACCATTTAACTGCCATTTCCAAATTTTTTAACTTCAAATCAGAAAGGTCATTTTTTTTTCTTCTTAAACACAGGTAACTTGTGTTTGAATTTGGTATAAGACTGAATGAACAAAATATTTTCCACATTAAATACATCTGTACCAAGTGCTGAGCTGAGACCAAATTTCTCTGAAAAAAAACTAGAATCCCTTGATAATTATTCACTAGGAAATAGAATGAAAGTCAAGTGAGGTCCTTGTTTCCTTCTCTATTCTCCAGTCTATCATCAGATGATGCATTTGATGGTCAAAAGACCACACAAGTTTCAGGAAAAGAAAATGGTGAAGGTGTTTATATACTTGCATGTCAGCACATGCATAATGGCATTTGGTATAGGCAAACAACTCCAGGCATTATTATATATAATTATATATACTATACAGATATATAGCATGCAAGAAGATACACAATAAAAAAAGTCCCCGGGTTAAAATTAATTATATCAAAGGTAAGCTAAATAGTTATTTTTAAGTAAGTTAAGTGAGCCACTGATTTATTATAGTTCATTAAATACCCACATAAGGAAAAGAAAACATCCATTGTCCATTCAACAACATTATATCCTACAAATCTACAAATACTTCTGACTACCAAGTTCTAAGTCTACCATCTCTTTAACAACAATAATAAGAAACTCCATGCTCTGTAGTGACTGAGGCCAAAGACTGTCTGGAACAAAGTCTAGCACATAATGAGCCTTAATAAACACTTGTTGAATGAACAAATGAATGAATGAAGGAATCTTTATCTCTTACCAGTTGGGTCTCGGACATCCTATTCGCCGAGATGTGTCCTTACATATGAGGAGACAATTACAAGGGCATCTAACATATTTCTTCCCTGTTGGGGGGGTTTTGATTGGCTAGATAATGGAAGAAAATGCAAACACAGGAAATCAACCAAAATACAAACGGTCACAAATTGTGTTTAAGGAGGAAATGCTACTTTAAACTGGAAGGCCCCACAGCGCTACCAAGGTGAAGTCTAAGAAAGAGTGCACACACAGCACATGGTTTCAAATGCTGAAGATGCTGGCTGGTAAGCACTCTGAAATTCAGGGTCTGTGAGCATTTGATTGTAAAGAACCCATTTCAAAGTGAGTTTGTGCTGACCTTTGCGGAGGTAGGAATAGTTGTGCATGCTGGTTGGTTTCTCCTTGAAGTTCACAAGACTAGGTCACATACCTGGCCACGTAGGGAGAAACTATCCTTGTACTATTGTTGTTCCTGCCCATGCTCAACAAAAGCAACTTTAGAGGAAAGGGGGCTCATTCTATCTTTTCTTCAACTTCAATAGAAGTGATTAATTTCAATGCCATGTCTAACTTAGAAACTTGCAAATGTTCCAAGTAGTAGTATACTTTTTTAAAATTTACAGTAAATTTAAAGTGAGAATAAATAGCATAGAAGAAAACACTCCTTGCAATATTAGAACTTAAGCTTGCTAAACTGAATAGTCACATTGAAAAGAACAGCTCTCTTCTGTGGCGCACCTTCCAAAACACATGACCTGAAGCCACGGGAAACGGGAGACAGCTTGAACTGGGGGACAGCCTAGAAAATATCCTGCCTATATTGATCAAAACATAAAAGCAATAAAAAGACGAAAAAGAACAAATTACAGATAAAAGAATGTTAAGGCGATATGGTAACAATATGCAATATGTGATTCTGGTTTTACTTCTAAAGTAGAAAATTTTCTTTCCTAAGTCACTAATGAGGCAGTTTGGGGGACATGAATTAGGTCCTAAGATAACACAGGGGCTGGGGAGATGGTCAGTATTAGGAGCACTAGCTACTCTTCCAAAGGACCATGTGCGTTTGTGTGTGTGTGTGTGTGTGTGTGTGTGTGTGTGTGTGTGTGTGTGTGTGTGAGAGGGGGGAGAAGAAAATAAATAAAACTGAAAAAGTAAAAAAGATTAGACAGCAGTAGTATGTCAACATTAATTTTTGGTATAAATTTATACCAGTATAATCTATTTGAAAGAAAAGCATGTATAGCATAAATGTCAACATTTGTAGAATAAGGGTGATGGGCATTTGGGAATGCTTCATGTTTATCTGCAGCGAGTCCTTAAATTACAATAGTCCCACTTGCAGTTTTTCAGTTATTTGGTGATGTTAAGAAAGATGTCTGTGTTCAGCAACACATACTTAGAATACTTAGAATATTGATTTTTTTCATCATTTTCAGGGTTAGCAATAAGAATTATGAGATTCCCTGAAGAAGTTCTTGGTAATCAGCAGCAAGCTACAGCTCTCAGCCCCTTGATGAGCAGGGCAAACGACCTACACTGTACAGTGAGCATGCTGTGCTGGCCACAGGGAATGCTTGGTATGATGGGTGTACCAGATATTTCCTATGGGCATACTGTTACAGAGCCCAGGGAAACTGAGAAGCATCCATACATACCATAGTATTTTTAACACTTTATCCTTTAAGAAACAAAAAAGAATTACAAATATTTTAACTTAATAACTGTGATAGAAATACATAAATGTTAGTAAAAAATCTATAATTTATTAACTAAATCTGAGTCCAGTGAATAGGTAACTAAATCTGAATGTTTAACATTTACAAACATCAAAGATGCATATCTGTAACGTAAAGCACCCAGAAAAACGGAGTTTGGGCTTATTTATGTTATTCAAAATTTACCATGACATAAATGTATGTTTGACAATGGATAAGATTTTTCACACACGTTTTATTGCTTTCTCACTTCTAGACATCAGTCCCTTCGCTTATAACTCAAGGCAACGAAGTCAGACTTTGAGCACTAGTCTCAGGGCCACCCCTCGTCATTTCCTATTTAGTCTGCATGGGAAAGGGAGAAGTGGCATGCCTTGGAGCACTTTCTTTGTTTTATTTTGTTTGAAGACTCACTTATTTTTATTTTATATATATGGCTATTCTGTCTGCAGGTATGTCTGTGCACGACATGTGTGCAGTGCCGTGGCCAGAAAAGAGCAACGAGCCATCTGGAACTTGAGTCACACACAATACAGTATTGTTAGCTGCCAAAGGGGCCCTGGGAACTGAACCCACTTCCTCTGCGAGAGCAACAAGTGCTCTTAACCTTTGAGCCATTTCTCCAGCCCAAGCATGGGCTTTAAAATTATTATTTGGCAAAATAAAGCTGCCTAGTTGGGCAAGGTCACGTGTACCTTTAATCCTAGCATTCAGAAGCCAGAAGCAGGTAGATCTCTAACAAGTTCCAGGCCATCCTGGCCTACATAGTGAGCTCCAGGACAGCCAGAGCTATAGTGAGATCCTGCTCAAATAACAACAACAATAATAGTAAAATTTGCTTTGCTAACAGCTATGCTGCACATTTTATTCCTGTTTCCACAACAATCCTACACATTGGTATTATTTTACCATGAGGAAATCACAGTTTAAAATATGAAGTCCCCCAAGACACAGTTACTGAGGAGAAAACAGGGACTCGACGTCCAGTCTGTCAGCCTCAGACTATCAGGCCACAATCAGATCCAGGCCATTTAATCTCGACAGACTTACCAGGTTCCTAAGACTCTGAGGCCACATTTCAGGTGCTTGGGAAAGGATCACCGTAGGGGACAAACAGTGGGTGTAGGAATGGCTCTGATGGACCTGAGCCATTTCCTTCATTATCTCTGACATTTTCAATCTAGAAGTCTCTGAAGCCACTCCCAGGTGCCTCATAAAAATTCACTTAAAAGTTTATAATCAAATGACAAGTGAGACATTATCAAGTCACATGTCAAGTCACTCCTCCAAACTTCCTTTCACTTTTTTCCTCATTTGTAATGTTAGAGCTAGGAAAAGGGCAGCCTGATTACATGCAGTTAGCTAATCTAGTGCATCCACGATTGCTTATGTTTCATTACTCCATAGAGGAAAGAATCATGACAAGAATGACCATAATTTCCTTTAGGCTCCAAAGTCCTTTTCTTATAGCAAACTGCACTGGTCCTGTACAAGTGAATTACTGACTGACAGATCCTGTTTGCTGAACCTTCAGAAACTTGGTTTCAACATGAATGACGTACTTTGTTCTGTTTACTTCCAAAGAGTAAACACAAAGCCTCAAAAAGTGTGCGTGTGTGTGTGTGTGTGCGTGTGTGTGTGCGTGCGTGTGTGCGTGTGTGTGTGTGTGCGTGCGTGCGTGTGTGTGTGTGCGTGTGTGTGTGTGTGTGTGTGCGTGCGTGTGTGTGTGTGTGTGCGTGTGTGTGTGTGCGTGCGCGTGTGTGTGTGTGTCCTTGGCGACACATTCTTGCAATTCCAAACCTCCCAGGAGCTGAGGCAGATGACCTTGAGGGCAGCCTGAACTATGTAATAAGATGATGTACCTAAAAGAACTGAGGAGACGGCTCATGGGAACTCAGATCCAACTGCTTCTGCTTCTCATGCTGTGCAAGCGTGAGAATCTGAATTCGAATTCCCAACATGTACATAAAAAGATAGACATCACACCTTTAACCCCAGCATTGGAAGGTGCAGGGACAGTCAGAGGTAAGTAAAGGAGTCGCCAGATAGTCAGCCTAGCTGAAAGGTTGAACCTCTGCTTCAGTAAGAGATCCTGCCTTAAAAGAAAAAGGCCAAGAGTAATAGAGGAAGGCGTCCTAAATCTTCCTCTGACCTCCACATGCACAAGTACCACACATGCGCATGCGCGCACACAAAGACACTAGGGTGGTGTGAAAGAAAAGAAAATGGCCCCCAAAGGGATTGGCACTATTAGGAGGTGTGGTCTTGTTGGAGGAAGTGTATCACTGTGGGAGTGGGCGCTGAGGTCTCTTTTGCTTGAGTTTCCCTCAGTGTGACAGTCAGTCAACTTCCTGTTGCCTGCAAGACATAGGACACTCAGCTATTTCTACAGCACCACATCTGCCTGCATGACTCCCTGCTCCCTGTCATGATGATAATGGACTATAAGCAAGTCCCCCAATTAAGTGCTTTAAGACTTGCCATTGTCATAGAATCTTTTCACATCAATAAAAACCCAAACCAAGGCAGACACCATTTCAAACACACATGGATAGATATAGCAGAATGGAAGAAGATATAATTAAATCCAAGGAAAGCATCACAGCTCTGCCTTGTAAAATTAGTATTTATGTCAAACCACTTTTATTTGCTTGCCAAGTCTCCATAGAGCACAACAGAAGATGATCCTACTTAAGTTCATTAGTCATCGATCAACTTACACTCTAGCTAGTTTATACTTATGACTGTGTATCATGAAAAACTTCTCTAAATTTTTGTTCTTTGCAGGAAAAAATTGCAATGAAATACATTGCTTTATGAATTAGAGTTTAGTTTACAACTGTCTATCAAACATAGGAAGCCCAGGATCTATGATTTGTGGTTCTTACAGACAATGATCACTAGCAGACTTCTTCACAGTTTTCCAAACAGGAAGAAAATACAAACATCAAAATTCAATTCAATTCATATTTAACTGCAGATTCCAAAAGAGACTGAAAAAAAAAATGAAAGTCTAACTATACAAGAAGGAAAGAGATGAACTAAATAATACATCTCTTACCAGGTACTATTTGAAACTGTAAAAACTTTTTGCTAAGATTTAGTTATTCTTCCCAAAGATCCGTTTCTTTTAAAGTGCCCTTCAATTATTTAAAAATTTCATTGCATTAATATCTAGCAAGTGGATTAAATGCTAAGCTATTTGAAAATAAGCAGTTTGGCACAGAAGGTAATAATAAATTTATAATCAAAGAAAAAGAATACTGACATTATATGGATATTAAATAAACAGTTTTCTATTTATTAGAAATCTGCAGTAAAGCCCAGCAGATTTGCACAAAAATAAGATGGACAGAAACTAAAGAGAAATATAAATGCCTATCATACATAAAGCATCAAAAGGATGTTACAGTTAAGCAAGAAAAAAATGTGATGGTGCTATCCTAAACTTGTAGAGGCATCCTTATATAATAAAAGAAAGACAGGCAGAAGAAAAACTGAGACAGATCACCATATTTGTACCCAGCCCACATTGGCACTTAAATGACACTACTGAAGAACTTCCTTTAGAAACAAGACATCCATTAGTGAGCTATGCTTTTTAATGGAAATTGCCACTTACCGTAGCTTCATTGCAAACTGTGCACTTAACCACATGCTGGTGAAGTTTACCATCCAAGTTGATGAGTGATTGGCACACGCGACAGTTGATCACGGGAACCCCACTGGCTCCCGGACTGGCAATGGCTGTATACGGAGGTGGGAGTTCAGCTGAAAGGGGTTTACATTGAATCAGAGTCTTTGAAATTACTGTGGCTACTTTGGGCATAGAAGCATTAGACATGCAGTAGAAACCATGAAAACACTTACTTCACATTTAAGATTTAACACTAGCTGACCCATCCCAGTAGCAGGGAGTAAACATGAGCATGACTGTGTTGTCAAGAAGAGTAATTCTTAACTCCAATAAAACCCAAATTTTGATGGCTTAAGTCTCATTGGTGGGAATTTCCTTTACTCAAAATACCCACCCCATTCCTTTGTGTTCGTCTGTATAGCTGGTAGTAGTATTTTGTGTAACTGAGACTCTAATACTAGTGCACTTGCAATTGCAGCCCTTGGTAAGCTGAGACAGGAGGATTGCAATAACAAGGCCAAACTGCTCTACTACATGGATGAATGGACAAAAGGCTCAAGATTCCCATACTTTAGCAACTGGGCTGGGACCTACTTGGGGACTCATTACAGCCAGAGAGACAGCACTATAATATTTACTCCTTAAACTACTAAAAAGCCCACCTATCTACCCACAAGTGGATGCCTACACATGGCTCACAAGATAAGAACAAGTAACTCTCTGCTAACTATTATACTGTTATTAAAAAATCCCCATTCCCTCAGTAGAGCAAGATGCCCGCATCTACATCCTCTCTCAGAACTTGCCTTTCTTGAAGTATATTTCAATTAACTTTCACACTGTCTGTTTGGACGCTTAGTAAATTCTTTTTTACCCACTCAAGTCACCAGCCCTCAAGACATTGTTTCACATGGCAATTAAAAAAATAAACTCTATTGGAGAATAATAAATAGAAGTTCTCAGTAGTAGGAAATAAAAGTAGTCAACAAACTGAAGTTTTATAATCACTTACAAATAGCACAAGCTGGATACTGTTGTGCTTTCTCTATATCCTGGACCAGTAAAATGACTGCCTGTGATACTAACAGAATAAGGATTATGAGAAAGTTAAGGAGAGACACAAATTAACCCAGGCAAACTGAACTTAACAGGATGGGACAAAGATGGGGACTACCCAAATTTCAGACCCAAACAAAATACGTAAACTTAACAATTTCTAGTTTCAAATGTTTATTTACCAGTAAGAACTTTAAAAGAAGACGTGGGAGTTATGAGTAAAATAAAAGGATGTCTGAGACAAGATAATCCAGGGACAACCACAACACAAAGGACTGGAAATAGATGAGTGACAAGTGACAGCTGATGAGTATAATAATGCAAAAGAACACATGCTTCACATATGTTTTAACCTTGATCTTATGCTGAAAACTTGGCAGGGCAGAAGATTAGGACGGATGTGAATGCCCCTCCCTACTGCTATCAGGTCATCAGCTGTCTTTTTTTTCCCCTCCATGTGAATGAACTTATAGCACAGAAATGAACAAAGAATTCTGCCAAGCTGGTAAACATTGGCATTCTGGGTACAGACAGGGATCTTATGAACCACAAAGGCCTTGATTCTTTTCTCCTTCAAAATGAAGTATCTCTAAGATTCTATTTACTTTGGCTAGGAATTAAATAAAAAGATGACATCCTAACCAAAACCTGAGAGAGCCTGGGATCCAGGTCCCTTCTTCCAAGCATATCTTATAAATTTTCCCTTTTCTCATAACTTCTTATGAATTGCAAGATAGTCACATGTAACATAAGGAGGAAATTAGACATCCCTACCTACCGATGGATAGACTGCAAACACATCCCTTTTCCTTTACCAAATTTTGTTTCCCAATTTCTTTTCAAACACAGGAGAAAAAAGATGACAGGTTTCTAAACCTACGTACCCACAAAGGAAAACCTTTGGAAATCCTCACACCTCACCGATAAGCACCAAAAAATATACACATAAGTATTTCTTGCTGCTGTAGCTTTGCTTTGGGAGATAACTAAATTTGATTGAGTTGGTAAAGACTTGTGCCTAGTTTTAGAATCATCTGACATACTAGATACACTAATAAATGCCAGAGCACCCCTAGACAAAGAAAGACAGGCTACTGAGAGCTTCTGAGAGCATGAGAAATAGTCCTCCCTAGGGGTGGAAGGGTGCGCATGAAAGAGGTTAAAGGGAGGAAAGGAGAGAATAATTTTAATTTAAAATAATGAAAACCTATTGTTTATTTTTTAAATGAAAGAAATCATCTGGAGAAAAGTCCTGATGTACCACTCTAAGACAAGGGTTCCATAGGAAACGCCTGGCAGCATTCTGAGTATTCTCCGATTGCTCCTTTGTGTGTTTGTTAGGCCCCATGCTTTAACTCATTATTTAGGCCAACCTGGCCTTGAACTCATGATTCTCTTCCCTTGGCCTTTCAAATTCTGGAATTTGAATGCCATCAAGCTGGTTCTAACGATATCATATTTTTGAACAGTGCTAGAGATGAAAGTCTTGCACAAGCTAGGTCAGCATTCTATTACTGAGCTAGAGCACTCTCCTCTAGGATCGAAAGCACTTTTGATTTCACGGATTATCTTAGGACTTCTACAAAGATCCACCCGACACATGACTGAAGCACCACCAAAGGGAACTGACATGCACACAGAAAACAACTACAGCTAATCATCAAAGAGCTAGTTTTGAAGTTCAGATTTGGAATTCTGTGACTTTTTTCAAAGTGTCAGAGAACAGTACAAATGGCATATCTAAAATCCACACACAGATTTTTATTGCATTTATTGCATAGCCTTATCATACCGATTGTTTTTCCAGATATTTACCAGCAAGTGTTATAAAGTAACAGGAAGTTTCTACACAGAAAGATAGTCTAAGGATTCAGGCATTATGCTGGCCTGCCCCTGTCAGCTGGCAGAGTGCACTCAGGCAGTACCCTGGTCAGCTCAGGGTTCCATGGTTGCCCAGTCTGCACAAAGGTACAAAGGACCCTTTAAAAGAAAGACCCCTGCCCTCTTACGTTCTTTCCCATGCCTCTCTTCCCTGCAGTTCCCTGGGGCAGACAGGACTTTCCTGTCTCCCTCTTCTTTTCTGCCCTCTCTCTGTCTCTTTACCTCTTTTCTCTTTCCTTCCCCCTCCCTCCCCTTTCTAATAAAACTTCTTACTTAAGCTCTGTCTGCCTGGCGAGTTTGTGCCCTGCCTCGATCAATCTCGCCTGCCACGGGAGGTGGAGACAAGAGAATCCCCAAACTTCTAGGGTCAGCTACCCTGGTATACATGGCCAACGTGATATGGGATGTCCTTCGGTATAATACTGCGAATATATTTTGACCAATGGCCAGACAAAATATAGCTAGCCCAGAAATCCAAACAGAGTTATGGAGAGAAGGAAGGCAGAGTTGGGGAGACGCCATGTAGCTGCCAGGAAAGCAAGGTCTGAGGTAACAAGCCACAGGACTCATGGTAAAATAGAGACTATTAGAAATGTGTTAATTTATAGGTAGAACTAACCCATAAGAAGCCTGAGCCATAGGCCAAACAATTATATTTAATATTAAGCCTCGGAGTGTTATTTTATAAGCAGATGCTGGGACACGGTGGGCAGGAGAGAAACTGGTCCAATGGGACTGGGTGAGACAGAGCAAAACTTCCAACTGCATCTGGCATGCCAACGTGGGACTCTCAAAGTTCCAAATAAGACCAGAGAAAGCTTAAAAAGGGGGGGCTGGTTCTGGAACACATATAGGGAGCTGAGTCCTGGTTCTGACTCTCATGCAGGCCACCATGAGCAGGCAACACTGCATTTGGGCTTGAGCACAACATGGCAGATTCCCACTGCAGTACACAAAAGAGTTTCCAGGCCATGCAGCACACTGCATGGCAGATTTAGCTTTCACCCATACTGACAAAGAGTTGAGGTGGTGAGCACCGCTACCTTCCAGTGAGCCCAGTACTTTTTTTTATTTTTTATTAGTATTTTAATTTTAAATAGCTTGTTTTACATGTCAATCCCAGTTCCCTCTCCCTCCCTTCCTCCCGCACCCCCCCCCCACTTTTCCCCCAGCCTCCTACTCTATCCCCATTTCCTTCCACATAGGGGATATCTAGAGTCTGTCATTTCACTCTGGGTAGGGTCCAGGCATTCCCCTAAGAGTCCAGGCTGAGAGAGCATCCCTCTTTGTGTTATGGACACACTAAGTCCGTTTGTATGCCAGGGATATGTACCTCTGCCATGTTGGAAGACTAAGCAGGGCAGAGCCAGCATCCAGGGGCCTCCACGACCATGCCACTTAGCACTTTAAATGCATATATGGTCAGAAAAAATAGAGATATACAAAAAAGATAGAGATACACAATAAAAACAGATTCAGACAAAAAAAGAAATCTCTAGTTTACAGGAGAGAAAAAATAGATACAGTCATAGATTAAAGGAGTAAAGAAAATGAATATTAAAAAGAAAATAGCAAAAAGTGACACATAAAAATGGAATATACAGAGAATCTAGATTATGTATATGATTGTATTTTCTTTAAATTATTTGACTGTTAATGAGTTAACTACAGAGAAATTTGATTGTGAGGTCTACTAAGCTAAACCAACACATATATTTTAAAGGAATCTTGATTTCAAAATTTGGATCACTAAGGATATGTTGGAAAAGAGGTTTTGCTTTTGTTTTCACAGAAGATGAAAAGCTGTTGATTCCTTCCAGGCTAATACAGTTTGATCGAAGGAGTGGCCCAGGTGATCCAACATCCAAAACAGTTTAAGGGAAATGGCTGAGACAATGCAGCCTCACAGACTACTACAGTCAAGATTTAAACATAATTCTACATTTTCTCAGGATCCCCATAAGATTAACAGTGTCCCCAATCAACAGCAAGTAGTATAGAAAACTACACCCAAATTCCCAAAATATCATTTATAAATGTTTGTTTTCATTTAAAGGGGGTCAATTATAAATGGTTAATGGTCACAATCTCTAAAAAAAGGGGGTATGATTCAGAAATGAATATTTTACATTGGTATGGATTTTGGTTTATTGATACAAACTTAAGGTCAATTTTATTATACTGTATATATTTCTAC